GGGGGAGGGGGAACAACTCATACAAATAGCCTTTGGGGAAGGAAATCTGCCATCTTTACCTGGTCTAGTCTGCATGTGACTTTGGACCTACAGAGATGTTGTTGACACTTTACTGCTCTCTGGGCAATTAGGGGTGAGTAATAAATGTTGGCAGTAGCCAGTGAGGCCCATGTGCCATAACTTAAAATAAAACTCCACTTTCCTGAGATAACAAGGTGTAGAGCTGGATGAACACAGCAGGCCAAGCAGCATCAAAGGAGCAGGAAGGCTGAGGTTTCGGGCCTAGACCCTCCTTCAGAAAAATTTCCTGCCTTGATCTTTATAACCCTTGATACCATTACTGATCAAAACTATCTACCGCAGACTTGAATATACTTAACGATCCAGCGTCTGTGGTAAGGCATTCCGCAGATTCGCCATCCTCTGAGAGAAGGAATTCCTCATCTCTTATCCTAAATGGGCGACCTCCTCGGTCAAACTTTGACTTAATTTGAATCCCAGATGTAAAATAAAACAAGTATGTGCTCACTCGGAGAAGCCAGGAGCAGGTAAGTGGTCGGAATGAGAACTGAAGTAGGTCTGCAGGTGCCAGCCACAAGGCACAGGGTCAATCCGCTGATTTAGCTGCCAGTGCGCAGGCGGAAGTTGTCGGCCGGTGAGGTTGTGACCTATGACGCGTTGTGAATACGTTCTATCTGCTGACAGGGAGGGGGCGGGGCCATGAGTGGCGCACGCGCAGTATCTGCGGAAGTGGCTGTGCTGGGCCACTTGTCACGAAGCTTAGAGCGGCGGGGGTGGACCTGGAGGCAGTGACTCAATGGTCTCTGAGTGAGTGAGTGAATGGAGCAAAGTGAGGAAGAAAACCTCCAGAAACAAGTGAGTCAGTCACGTTTTGGGGTGGGAAAGTCAGGACAGCTTAAATCAAAATAAAGGCTTGCGTTTGTGAGGAGAAATGCTGTTCTCAGAGAGGCACCTGAGTCTTAAAGCCGCTTTCTGAAAAGGTAGTCAGTTTTACTTTCACTCATTCACAGGGTGTGGGTGTCAGTGTGTAATCCATCCCTAATTGCTCAGAGACAGTTAGGAGTCAACCACATTGCTATGGAGCTGGAGTCACATGTAGGCTAGACCAGGTCTGGATAACAGATTTCTCTCCTTAAAGGCCATTAGTGAATCAAGTGGCTTTTCTTTCTTCCAATAGTTTTATTAGACTCTTAAATCTGGATTTTTATTGGATGCAAGTTTTTTCTTTCTTTCTTCTTTGTTCTGCCTTTATATTCTGTGTTTTGATTTATTTTTCTGTGTTTTAAGATGGCATTGGAGAGGGGTGATCCTATACAACACTTTTCACTGTATTTTGTAACAAAATGTACATAACGATAAATAAGTTTTTTAAAAAACTACTATCTGTTATGGCAGCATTTAAACCTGGGTCCCTGGATTAATAATCTAGCAAATAATACCACTAGGCCATTGCCTCCCACTCCTCTCATTTATAAGGTATTATTAATTAAATAATATTTGATAATGTTATACTATTAAAAGATAATCTTATAAATTGTCAATGCAAAGATGTATAGATTCTTGATAAATGAGGGGGCAAAGTGATATAGAGGGTAGGGAAGAATATGGAAATCAGCCATGATCATATTCATAGGCAGAGCAAGGTCAAGGGGCTTTTTTTTTTCATTATTCATTCATGGGATGTGCATTTAGCACTTGTACTGAATTGTCCACAGGATAATTAAGAGTCAAACTCATTACTGGTACTGGTACAGTATGACAATGGTGTATTTTTAATGGCATCTGACTGGTTTTATTGTTACAGTTGACACTATTAGACTAATTCTTAATATCAGTACTTTGAATTCAAATTGTACCACCTGCCGTGGTGGAATTTGAGCCCCTGCCTGTAGGACCTTAGCCTAGGTTGTGTAGTCTGGCAACATTACCATTACACCACTGCCTTCCTATCAATACTGACCTTCTCGCAATGCAATATTTGGAATATCAGTCAAGGCTTCTGTGATGTTAGTGGGGCTCGAACACATTCTGACTGAGACATATGACTGCTCTGCACTGAGTCACAGCTAACACTCTATGTGGTGCACACTGAATAAAAACTTCTCAGATCCATGAGATTGCACTGCTTATGAACATGGAAGCTGGCAGAGTGTTTGAACGGGATGGGAGATTTTAAGTAGGGAAAATGTGAAATCATGAAATATTTAGAATTTGCTGAGCTTTGTTGTTAATTCCCAAATTGACTAGCCACGTTTGACAAGGAAGCTGTATTCAGTGGCTAGATATTTGTGCCAATTTGTTGTTGGTTTTTTGGCACTCAACCTTTGCAAGTTCATTTATTAGCAGCAAATTAATTTCACATTAGATGTGGCACAGAACATTAAGTCAGGTAATTAAGATTATATGTACCCTTTTAACAGTATGGTGATTATAACCAAAAGGCATCTGGATAGGTATATGAATAGGAAGGGTTTAGAGGGATATGGGCCAAATGCTGGCAAATGGGACTGGTTCAGTTTAGGATATCTGGTTGACATGGGCAAGTTGGACTGAAAAGTCTGTTTCTGTGCTGTATAACTCTACATCAGAGGATCAAGTAACTTCTCTGGTGCCAAAAAACTTGGAGACTCATTCTTTCGGCTAGTAAATTATCAGAGGTTTTAAAAAAGTTAAATCATACATTAATTTTTTTCTTGCTTTTCGTTTCGCTGTTTTTTCTTTATCGAAACTTTCCCTTTTTTTTCCCCTTTTTGTCTATTGCTTAATTTTATTTAACTCTGTTTAGGGGAGGTAGTGGTGACATAGATAACACAGTGTGAAGCTGGAGGAACACAGCAGGCCAGGCAGCATCAGAGGAGCAGGAAAGTTGACTATCTCTTAGTGGTGACATAGTTGTAATATCACTGGGTGATAATTTCAGACCTGGTTTATCTTGATCATAGAATCCCTACAGTATGGAAACAGGCTCTTTGGCCCAACAACTCCACACCGACCCTCAGAACATCCCACCCAGACCCATCCCCCAATAACCCACCTAAGCTACACGTCCCTGAACACTACGGGTAATTTAGCATGGCCAATCCACCTAGCCTGCATATCTTTTGACTGTGGAAGGGAACCGGAGCACCAGGAGGAAAGCCACGCAGACACAGGGAGGATGTGCAAACTTCACACAGATAGTTGCCCAAGGGTGGAATCGAACCCGGTTCCCTGGTGCTGTGACACAGTAGTGCTGACCACTGAGTCACCGTGCCGCTAGGGTTGTGGTTTGAATCTCACCATGGCAAATGGTGAAATTTGAATTAAATAAAAATCTGGAATTAAAAAAGCTAGTCTAATAGTGTAACCACTGCCAATTGTTGCAAAAGCCTGTCTGGTTCATTAGTGTCCTTTAGGGAAGAAAACGGCCATCATGGCCGGTCTAGACTACATGTGACTCCAGACCCATACAATGAGGATACCTCTTAATTGCTCTCTGAAGTGGCTGAGGAGGCCACTCAGTTCAAGGGATAATTAGGCATAGGCAACAAAAATAGGTATTGCCAGTGACTCTCACATACCATACATGAATAAAAAAAATCCTGGTTACTTTCTGGGTCATTCTTCTCTGGTCCAGGAACTAGACTGTGAGTCCTGTTATTCCATGGACCATGGTCGTTCACTTCACTGTTGTGAGCTCATATGCCCAGCAACTTTGTGGACGTAACAGTAAGTTACAATCCTAAAATACGTGTGAGTCTAACTCTCGCCAAAGCTGGGGCAATATGAAAAATAAATGCTTTCATGGAATATGGCCACACTGGCTGGGCCGACGTTTGTTTCCTGTCTGTTACTGCCCTTGAACTGAGAGGTTTTCTAGAGCAATTTCAGAGGGCAGTTAAGAGTCAACCACATTGCCATGGATCTGGATTCACGTGTGGACCAGACCACGTAGGTTTGGCTAGTTTCTTTCCCTGAAGGACCTTAGTGAACCAAATGGGTTTTTTATTCCCACAATAATCACGCCAGCTGCAGTGATGGGATTTGAGCCCATATTCCTACAAACCAGTTACATTGCCTTTTATTTTTATTCGTTCACAGGACATAGGTGTCAATGGCTTGGTCAGCGTTTAATACCCGTCCCTAGTTGCCCCTTGAAAGGGTGGGGGTGAGCTGCCTTCTTGAACCACTGCAGTCCATAGGTAGGTCCACAATGCCCTTAGGAAGGGAATTCCAGGACTTTGACCCAGTGACACTGAAGGAATATCTGTGCTTCTGAGACTCAATAAAGCCGATGTATATTGATAGAAAAGTTGGTTTAAAAAGAACTTTAGCCTGTTCAGTTCAATGGTTAGCTTGCAAACTGCAGTACAAAAAATGTTTGAATGACGTGGTGGATATTCAGAATACAGTTCTTTTCTCCATCAGATCGATGAGATTGAAGCGCTGTCATCCATCTATGAAGATGAGTGGTGTGTCATTGACGAGGCTGCCAGGATATTTTGTATTCGAGTTGTGGATGAATTAGAACATCCCAAATGGACTATTTGTTTACAGGTATAGTAGGTGCTCAAATTGCTGCCTTCTGTACTCCATACTTACCATGCAACAGCAAAACTGCATTGCAGGCCAGGCTTCTGTTACATGCTGACTTCACAGAATATATTTCAGGCTGAGATACACAGAATTTAGGTCTCCCAGAGAATCATAGGAGTGGACATGATAGTGATGTTAAAGCCTAAATGTTAGCCATTATCAAATTAAATGGCGGAGTAAGCCAAATAATCTGCTCCAATTACTTTATGGTTTTACTCCATTAATACTGACAACAGCTGGTAACAGCAGAGAATGTAACTATTCAGCCTCCATTGGGTATATCTAGATACACACCCAACCCCCATGATCCCAATCGCATCCATCAAATTGCCTCTCAACCCACATATAGTACGAATGCATTAACTGGGGAGTTGGTTAAACACATGAGGGAGAAAGGAATCAAAGTTTATGGGAAATGGGGAATGATGGAACAAGGCTCTGTTGAAGCACAGACATTGATGTTGACCAGTTAGATCAAATGTTATGTTGTAGATTTCACGTGATTCTATGTAAAATCAATCTGTCTAATCGCTTTACGTTCTTTGCTGTCTAGGTGATACTTCCTCCAGAATACCCCTCATCTGCTCCACCTGTCTATCAGTTAAAGTAAGCAATAAGCTTCCTTTGTGTATTTATAACCTCGACTCTCTCTGAAATAGAGACTTGTTCCTGAAGCTTTCTATCTTGCAGTCTTCAGGACAAACACAAGATGCCAGATTTCAAACAATCACTATTTGTACTGCAGGAAAGAGAGGCTCCTGATTGGCTGGCAAGTTGACTCTGGCTGGCTGAGTCATTGTCACTGAGAAAGCAGCAGGGAATCATTAACTCCTGAAGCTGCCGGGTAATGTGAACAAGGTGCAAGGCTCAAACACATGCCTTTTGTTTGTGGTGAACAGGGCCCTGTGTATGAATGCAGGTTGACTCTAGCACGTGTGCACAATTCATGGTGCCAACCTAATTGATGATCAAAAATTGGTTGTTAGTACAGCTATAATGCACTCTGGATTGTTCAGCGAGTGCTGTCCAATTGCAGAATCACAGCTAATGACAGATGTTCTGTTGGCTTTGGCAACGTCTCTCTCTTTTCAGCATTTCTAATCCCATCTTTAACCCAAGTCGTTGAATGTTTGCAATCATTTATGTCCTCTGTTGAAGACGTTAACAGGCACTGACAGAAATTAAGACGTGCAGACATAGTTCTAGATGAGCAATGAAATGACTGGAACACCACAGCACCTGGAAACACAAAGGTTGATTTTGGTGACTCTGCAGTGGCAGAAGTTGCCCTTTTCACTGTTGGCACCACGGGTGGCAGGTGGGATTGGTTTTGCAGGGTTAGACAGGAAGGTGCTAAGTCTTGGGGAAAGTGCGATGACCATCCACCCATTATTTGGAATCGAGCAGAAACACTAATGATTGTTATTGTTGTGAAGGCTTTATGCATACTAGTTTTATGGACTCGAGTTTGGAGAATTGGGAATAGCTGAATTGTGTTTTTATTCCTTTAAATCTGTCAATGATGTCAGAATTATTTTCAAAAAGGTATTTCTCAGTAGTCACATGTCTTGTGAAAACTGCTTGTTTCCTGGAGCTCCCCTTGCCTGGTTCCACTTTCTGCTTCAGATATTGATTGGAGCAGTTGGGAAAATCCAGCTGAAAGAAAATATCTTCCTGGCTCAGCTCTCCTGTTTCTAGGGAGGAACATTTTGCTGTGTGGCCAAGGTAGGACTTAGAGCCCTGGTCTATCTGCTGTCATGTGACAAGCCTCCGAAAGTGTTGGACTGGGAAAGACAATACACAATCTCAATCAGAAGAATACCTGTGCAGTAAAATTTCTGCTTTGCAACCAGTCTTAATTAACTACGGGTGGCATGGTTGCTCAGTGGTTAGCACTGCTGCCTCACAGCGCCAGGGACCCAGGTTCAATTCCACCCTCGGGTGTCATCTGCGTGGAGTTTGCACATTCTCCCCATGTCTGCTTGGGTTTCCTCCGGGTGCTCCAGTTTCTTCCCACAGTCCAAAGGTGGATTGGCTGTGCTAAATTGTCCATAGTGTCCAGGGATGTTCAGGCTCGGTGGATTAGTCATGGTGAGTGCAGGTTTACAGGGATAGGGTAGGGGTGTCGGTCTGGATGGGATGCTGTTCAGAGGGTCAGTGTGGGCTTGACGGGTCAAATGACCTGCTTCCACACTGTAGCAATTCTATGATTCCAAGAACCAAATTGAACCTCGTACTGCAAACTATTCATCAAGAAAAAAACATTTTTTTTTCTGAGGGGAAAAAAATGATGATCTAGAGCAAGCTGAGGATCAGGCAATTATTGGGAGAGTTTGAATAGATCTTGAGCTAACTTTCAGAACAAATGGTTTGAGGATGTGACTGTGGTGCTCCAACCAGCAGAGCTTTTCTGATTGGTTGGGAGACTGGAGGTGGAAAATGAGCTCAGAAATAGACCATTTGTCTTTCTAATTGCTTGTTATACTTAGAAAGAAAGTAGCATTCATTTTAATATCTTTGTTATATTGAATCAAATAAACAATTGTGTTTTCTTTAGGGGCATTAAACGTTTTGATTTTTTTCATTTGATTTTAGTGCATCATGGCTGAGAGGGCAAGAACGAACAGATCTTTCGAACAGCTTGGAGGAAATCTATCTGTGAGTTGGTCAGATAATTTCAAATTAAGTTCCTCTTGTCTACAAATAACCACGTTTGTGTATTGTAGGAATCAGTAACACAATTTGCATTTTTAAAAAATGTATACAGCATTTATTCTTTCATAAAATGTGGATGTCACTGGCATGACCCTTGAAATGAGTGGGGTTGTTCCGACCATTTAAGACTCAACCCCATTGCTATGGGTCTGGAGTCAAATGTAGGCCATACCAGGTAAGGACAGCAGATTTCCTTCCGTAAAGGATTTTACAACAGATGTCACTGTTAAAATAGCTTTTTTTAAACAAAGATCATATTTTGCCTTGTGCCATGGAGAGATTGGAACGCATGTCCATGAGAACATTAGACTTTGTCTTGACTGCCTCCCCTACTGATGTGCTGTCTCATCTCCTGCATTGTCCATAGCCCCTCATTCCCTGAGATGAAAGACCTATTGAATTCTCTCGAATAAACTCAACATTGGAACATTGACAAGACTCTTGGGAAGAGAATTCCAATGATTTACTACACCCTGTTTGAAGTAACTTTTTCTCAAAATAAACAGTGCCCCTCACCTCCCTGCCATGTTTCAGATTCCCCAGTTTTGCGGGGTAGGGGGTGGGGGTGGGTGGTGGTAGTGGAAATGATCTGTAGGTGCTGGATGCTCACCGTGGGTTTCGAAAATTTCCAATTCTACACACCCGACTCGAGATCGTGACCTAAATCTTTGAATCTTGATCCCGGAGGTGGGTGGTGAGTTATGGCTGAATTTAGGCCCTCACCCCGCAGGGAGAGGCTTCAGACAAAGCCACGGAATGGGAGGGTGGGGGGTGTGGGTGCTGCTCGGCTCCTTAAAGGGCCATTCCTCAATGGCAAGGAAGCTTTATTCCTTTCATACTACCTCCCCACTCACCTCCTGACTCCCTCATCCATGTCAAATCATGGCAAAGAATACACCTCTACACATTGCAATGGCCCCTTCTAGCCTCTAAAGCAGCCCACTCAACTTCCCCTCCATGAGCCCTCATAAACCCCATGTCAGTACATGCCCTTTAATGTCCCTATGTTAAAACAATGCCAACTCACACCAGTCCGTTCATCCCACCCATCATCCTTTTCCCTTACAACTTCAGTGGTAACTTACCTTGTACCGACATGGGCAGACCTTGGGAGTCATGATAAGAAAAATAAAATAAATTTCTAAGTGCCTACTGCAGATATCACTACATTTAAAAACAGAATTCTCATTGATAACACTTTATACCCCTTAAAGGATACAAATAGTTATTTGGTGGTACAAAACCTGAGTGTTTCTGAAAGAAGACATTTTTTTGTCTTGCACTCGTCAGGACAATTAGCAAGAATGCCAGTTTAAAGATAAAATCAATATTAGCACTGAATGATAGGCGTGTGCTGATTGTTTGACAAGTGCAACCATGAATGAGCTTAAGGCTATCACCTTTTAGATCCTGAAAAGTCTACCTCCCATTACATTGGCTGGGTAAGGTATCTAAAAGGTTTGAGCAGCATGTGACACTAGCTGTTTCGTGCTGCCACTTTGTAGCAGCGACAAAAGTGGTGTTCACCACTGATGGTGCTGCCATCGAGCCAGAAAGACATTCTGCCCAATACACAAATGCAGTATATGAATTTCCATGTCAACGTGATGCCCGGTATGTTGGGATTTATGTCCCAAAGACTGTAACGCGATAGTTGCGTTTTTGTTGTACCTTGCGCTATAGGAAATTGCTGTAGAAAATTGCGTTATAGGGGAATTGCTATATTTGTACAGCAGAAAGTTTGTGTTATCCAAATAGCGCCCACTATTCATCAATCGTGTTATAGCCAATTTGCGTTAATGACACATGCGTTATAGCAGAAATACCTGTACTCACCCCTGCAACACAGACAGCTTTTGCTGGATAATCCCGACTGTACAAAGAATTACACTGACAACCAATTTAGAGCCATTAGTCTGGCTTGTGGTGTTACATGCTGTGTGAACTGGAAGCTACATATGTTAGTATATAGGACCTTTTTTTTACTGATAGACAAAAAAGGTACACACCCTGAGCCTATTTCAATTCTAAAAAATAGGTGACAGTCATTCACTGGTTCATTTCTCAGGGAAACATCTTGACCAATCAGAGTCAACATACCTGGTTTAAAATTTACATAATACTTGGTGGTTAATTGTCAATTGTCATTAACTGGTACATTCCCTGTGGCACCACCTCTACAAATTGGAATCCACTGATCAGTAACTCTTCTGTCATACAGTATTAATTTACATTTGTATTCTTGTGAATTATCCTAATCAAAAGCTTGGTCAAAATGTCTTTTTTTTCCAGCAAATGCGCTTCAAGTACTTAATCCAACTGGAAGCACTTAATCAGTTCTGAAGTTATGAAGTTGTATTTGCAGCCCCTTATCAAAAAGACACTAATTTCTTATTGCCAGTTCTGGCTCTCAATCAAACTGTGACTTTACAAGTCCCCCACTGTGATAATGCTAGGTTAGAGAAATAATCAGCATTCCAAGCAGCTAAAAAAAATTAAATTGCAAACACTGATGGACCAAATGGCCTCCTGTACTGTATTGTTCTATGATTCTACAATAAACTTTCAGTTTGATAATAAGTCGTACCTGGGATGGCTGAATGTTTTCATTTAATTAATGTATTTCAGACAGAACTTGGGAGAATGCATACTGTTCCTGTGGGTGGGAAAAATTCGAGACTTTCTCCTCCTGAAATCCCAGTCAGCTGATGCAGGTAATCCCCGTATCCTGTTGTGTTTTTTTACTGATTACTGGGAATTGGTTTGAAGCAAACCTCTCCTTTTACAAGCAGCATGAGTTATGACTATACAATAACAGGGCCTCATAATAATACAAACAAGCCAGAAATCATGCTTGAGAGGATAAACATTCTGGAATTTACAGGAATTGACCTGCTTTTGTCACTGGCAGGTTAGACCATGTATGATTTATATATTCCAGTGTGTGCACATATCTTGAATGTTATAGGTATTGGGAAGATGGTAAGCAGTGTTATTGTCACTGGAATAGTTACCCACATACTCTCTGGAGACATGGGTTCAAATCCCACCACAACCACTGGTGGAATTTAAATTTAGTTAATAAATTAGCGATGGTGACCATGAAGGCACTGTAGATTATCGTAAAAATCCATCTGGTTCACAAATGTCCTTCAGGGAAGGAAATCTGCCGTCCTTACCTGGTCTGACCTATATGTGACTCCAGATCCAGAGCGATGTGGTCGACTCTCATAGATTCGTAGATTCATACAGCATAGAAAAGGCCCTTCTGCCCATTGAGTCTGCACCAACGTAACTGCCACCAAAAGTGGACTAATCCCAATTTCCTGCACTTGTCCTATATCCTTGAATGTTATGATATTTAAAGTGCTCATCCAAATATTTTTTAAAGATTACAGGATTTCCAGCCTCCGGTATCTTCCTAGGCAGTGCATTCCAGATTCCCACCACCCGCTCTGTGAAAAAGATTTTTCCCAAATCCCCTTCGAATCTCCTGGCCCTTACCCTAAACAATGACCTCTCATGATTGACCCCTCATCTAAGGGGAACAGCTGCCCTCACTTCACCTGTCCATACCCTTCATAATCTTATACACCTCAATCATGCCCTTTAGGGAAGGAAATCTGCCTGTCCTCACCTGGTCTGATCTACATGTGACGCCAGACCCACAGCAATGTAGTCAACGTCATAGATTCATACAGTGCAGAAAAGGCCCTTCAGCCCATCTAGTCTGCACCAACATAACTACCACTGCCACCATAATCACATACACATCAATCACCTCTCAACTATCCTCTGCAACGGCTGAGCGAGCCACTAAATTCAAGGGGCAGTTGTGGGTGGGCAACAAATGCTGGTCTTGCCAGCAACACACATCCCATGGAAGAAGTTTTTAAAATTAGGACATATATAAATGTGATAGGGATATAAATGATATGCATATGTATATGTTTGTGTACATGCAAGCGTATACCGACTTTCTAAATCACTCACTTAATAAGTAATTCAGTGTGCAGAAAGTATTTTGATAATCATAGAATGGTAACAGACCAGAAGGAGGCCATTTGGCCCATTGTGTCCCTGCCAGCTCTCCCCAAGTGTGTCCCACTACCTGACCCTTTCCCGCAGTCCTGTGACATTTTCCCCTCCTGGTGTTTACTCAGTTCCCTCTTGGAAATCCGGACCGGAATGTGCCTCTGCCACATCAGACCTGAAGAACAGTTATGCCAGACTTGAAACGTTAACTCTGTTTCTCTCCATAGATGCTGCCAGACCTGTTGAGTTTCTCCAGCACTTTGCATTTGTATCAGTAGGTCACTTTCTGCCCTGACAGAATGACTTACCTTAGGAGCTTGGATGCAGTGAACTGCGGCAATCTGAATTCTTATCCACTGGGAACTTATTCACTTTGCAGGCAGAATGCAGGATCCTTTCCGAAAATCTGGGTTTTGAGAGAAGTCTAGGGACTCAAACTTTTTAAGATTGTCTGGTGGTGAAGGAGAGTGTGAATATTTGAACTAAGACGTCTGGGCTTGAAAGGAAAGGAACAATAACCTGGATTTTGTGTTTAAATTTAAAGTGCTCATCAGCTCTTGCAAGATGTAAGCGGGACATTGTCTTTTTAAAGTGTAGATTTTATCTCATTGTTTCTGACAGTTCCTGAAATACGGAAAACAACAGAAGAGGCTGAAGTGAATGATCAAGATGATTATTTAATTGTGTGTCAGCCACCTCAGCAAGTTGCAGTGGATGTAGACTTTCCTGAAAGCTCAGAAGGTAAGCTACAAAGAAACCCATTTTCTTACTGAATAAGCAGGACTATAATAAAACACATTCAACAATGAAAATTTGCGTTATATAACACCTTTTAATGGAGCAAAATATCAGGGAGCTTCAGAGAAGTGAGTAGCAAACAGGGCTTCACAAATTGTTTGAGAGTGCTTGTCGTCTCTCTCAACCTTTCTTCATTTAAAAAGGACAAAATACACCTCTTAAAACCATAGTATCATCATTCTAAGGGAGAATGAGGCAATCATGGCTGACAAGGGAAGTCAGGGACAGCATAAAAGCAATAAGAGAAGCACCCAAATGTGGTGAAGGTTAGTGGGAAGCCAGAGGATTGGGAAAACTTTAAAAACCAGTGAAGACAATGAAAAAAGCAATAAGGGGAGAAGATGAAATATGAAGGTAAGCTAGCTAATAATACAAAACAAGATACAGTAGTAAGAGTTTTTTTTTAAGATATCTAAAAGGTGAGAGAGAGGCAAGAGTGGACATTGTACTGCTGGAAAATGAGGCTGGAGAAGTAGAAACTGAGAACAAAAAAATGGTGGAGGAACTGAATTGGTACTTCAGTTTTCACAGTGGAAGACACCAGCAGCATACCAGCACTTCATGAGAGCCAGGGGGTAGAGATTAGTGTAGTGGCCATCACTAAGGAGAAGGTGCTGGGAAAGCTGAAAGGTCTGAATGTGGATAAATCACACAGACCAGAAGGACTACAGACTTATAGCAATGTAACAGAAATAGACCCTTTGGTCTAACACGTCCATGCCGACCAGATGTCCTAAATTAATCAAGTCCCGTTTGCCAACATTGGGCCCATATCCCTCTAAACTCTTCCTGTGGATGTACCCATCCAGATGACTTTTAAATGTTGTAATTGTACCAGCCTCCACCGCTTCCTCTGACAGTTCATTCCATACATGCACCACCATCTGCATGAAAATATTGCCTCTTAGGTCCCTTTTAAATCTTTCCCCTCTCACCTTAAAACTATGCCCTCTAGTTTTGGACTTCCCCACCCCAGAGAAAATACTTTGTCTATTTACGCTATCCATGCCCCTCGTGATTTTATAAACCTCAATAAGGTCACCCCTCAGCCTGTGACACGCCAGGAAAATAGCCCCAGCCTATTCAGCCTCTTCCTCTAGTTCAAGCCCTCCACGCCCAGCAACATCCTTGTAAATCCTTTCTGAACCCTTTCAAGTTTCACGGCATCTTTCCTATGGCAGGGAGACCAGAATTGAACACAGTATTCCAAAAGTGGCCGAACCATAGAAACATAGAAGAAAGGGCCAAATGGCCTCCTCCTGCTCCTTCGAGCCTGCTCCGCCATCCTTCAGGATCATGGCTGATCGTCCAATTCAACAGCCTAATCCTGCTTTCTCCCCATAACCTTTGATCCCATTCTCCCCAAATGCCATATCCAGTTGCCTCTTGAATACATTCAGTGTTTTGGCATCAACTACTTCCTGTGGTAATGAATTACACAGGCTCACCACTCTTTGGGTGAAGAAATGTCTCCTCATCTCCATCCTAAATGGTCTACCCCGAATCCTCAGACTGTGACCCCTGGTTCTGGACAACCCCACCATCGGGAACACCCTCCCTGCATCTACCCTGTCCAGTCCTGTTAGACTTTTATAAGTCTCTATGAGATCCCCCGCCTCATTTATCTGAACTCCAGCAAAACCAATTCTAACCTAGTCAAACTCTCCTCCTACGTCAGACCTGCCATCCCTGGAATCAGCCTGGTAAACTTTTGCTGCACTCCCTCGAGAGCAAGAGCATCCTTCCTCAGAAAAGGAGACCCAAACTGCACACAATATTCCAGGTGTGGTCTCACCAAGACCCTGTACAACTGCAACAACACATCCCTGCTCCTGTCCTCGAAACCTCTTGCAACATACCGTTTGCCTTCTTTTACTGCCTACTACACCTGCATGCTTACCTTCAGCGACTGGTGATTTAGCAATAATAGGTCACTGGACAAGGCATCTAGAGACCCAGGCTCGTAAATAAATGTCAAAAAGAAGTGGACCCAACACTGATCCTTGCGGCACACAATGGTCACAGGTCTCCAGTTTGAAAAGCAGCGCTGAAGGAGAAAGCTGAGGAGGTTGTAGATGCATTGGTGGTGATCTTTCAGGAATCACTGGAGTCAGGGAGGGTCCAGAGGCCTAGAAAATGTAGCACCCCTGTTTAAGAAGGGAAGGAAGCAGAAGACAGGAAACTATAAGTTGGTTAGTCTGATCTCAGTCTTTGGTAAGCTTTCAGAGTCCATTATTAAGGATAAGATTGCAGGGTAGTTGGGAGTGCATGGTAAAATACAGCTGAGTCGGCATGGCTTTGTCAAGATGAGTCATACCTGACAAATCTGTTAGACTGAGGAGGTAATGAGCAAGTTAGACAAAGGAGAGCCAGTGGGCGTGATCTATTTGGATTTTCAGAAGCCCTTTGACACAAGAGGCTGCAAAATAAGAAGGAATATGGTTGACCGTTAACTGCCCTCTGAGATAGTCCAGAAAGCAATTCAGTTCCAGGGCAATTAGGGATGGAGAACAAATGCTGGCCCTTGCCAGTGACAACACCTCCCGTGAAGGAATAAAGAAAGATCACTGAATTCTTATGGTGCAGAAAGAGACCATTTGGCCCATCATCCCCTCAGTGGCCCTTCAAACAAGTCTCATTACCTGGTGCCAATCTCCTGCCTTTTCCCCATATCCCTGCGCCCCATTTCTATCCAAATAATCATCCAATATCCTGAATGCCTTAGTTGAACCTGCCTTCACCACATTTCCAGGCATTGCATTCCAAACCCTAACTACTCGCTCGGTGAAAAAGATTTTTTCACACTTCAGTGCTTCTTTTGCTGAAACCATTAAATCCCTTCTGAATTCTAGAATACACCTCCTCCCACCCACCTTCCTGCAAAAATACCATCCCCTATTCCCAATTCCTTCGCCTCCGCCGTATCTGCTCCCAGGATGAGGCATTCCACTCCCATACATCGTTTTCAAGGACCGCTACTTGCCCCCCTCAGTGGTCGAGAACGCCCTCGACCGTGTCTCCCGCATTTCCTGCAACTCATCCCTCAGACTCCCTCCCCGCAATAACAACCAAAACAGAATCCCCCTCATCCTCACGTACCACCTCACCAACCTCCGGATCCAACGCATCATCCTCTGACACTTCCGCCATCTGCAATCCGACCCCACCACCAAAGACATTTTTCCCTTCCCACTCTTATCTGCTTTCCGGAGGGACCACGCTCTCCGTGACTCCCTTGTCCGCTCCACACTCCCTTCCAGCCCCACCGCACGCGGCACTTTTCCCTGCAACCACAGGAAGTGCTACACCTGCCACTATACCTCCCCCCTCACCCCCGTCCCAGGCCACATGAAGACCTTCCACATCAAGCAGATGTTCACCTACATATCTGCTAATGTGGTATACTGTATCCGCTGTTCCAGATGTGGCTACCTCTACATCGGGGAAACCAAGCGGAGGCTTGGGGACCACTTTGCGGAACACCTACACTCGGTTCGCAACAAACAACTGCACCTCCCAGTCACGAACCATTTCAACGCCCCCTCCCATTCCTCAGACGACATGTCCATCCTGGGCCTCCTGCAGTGCCACAACGATGCCACCTGAATGTTGCAGGAACAGCACCTCATATTCCGTTTGGGAACCCTGCAGCCGAATGGTATCAATGTGGACTTCACAAGCTTCAAAATCTCCCCTCCCCCTACCGCATCCCAAAACCAGCCAGCTCGTCTCCGCCTCCCTAACCTGTCCTTCCTCCGATCTATCCCCTCCTCCCACCTCAAGCCCCACCCCCATCTCCTACCTACTAGCCTCATCCTGCCCTCTTGACCTGTCCGTCCTCCCTGGACTGACCTATCCCCTCCCTAACTGCCCACCTACACTCACCTTTACTGGCTCCACCCCTGCCTCTTTGACCTGTCTGTCTCCTCTCCACCTATCTTCTCCCTTACCCATCTTCTATCCACCTCCCCCTCTCTCCCTGTTTATTTCAGAATCCTCTTCCCCTCCCCATTTCTGAAGAAGGGTCTACGCCCGAAACATCAGCTTTCCTGCTCCTCTGATGCTGCTTGGCCTGCTGTGTTCATCCAGCTCCACACCTTGTTATCCCAATAAATCCCTTGTTCCTTTTTACAAACCAGAACTGTTTGTCCCTATCTATAGCATCCAGTCTGCTGATGACTTTGAAAGCCTCTCTATCAGATCTTATCTCAGTTTTCTTCTCACTAAGGAGAACAGTCCCGGCTTCTTCAATCTATCCTTATCACTGAAGTTTCTTATCCTTGGAACTGCTCTTGTAAACCACTTCTGCACTTTCTCCAATACCTTTATGTCTTTCCTATAACTTGGCATCTGAAACTGTATGCAATGCTCCAACTGAGGTCTAACAAGTGTCCTGTCAAGTTCAACATCATCTCCTTGCTCTTGTACCATGTACCCCGATTAATAAGGCCAGAAATCGCATGACACCAGTTTATATTCCAACAAGTTTATTTTAAAACACAAGCTTTCGGAGCCTCAGTCCTCCTTCAGGTGTTAGTGAGAGGGGTAGTATCAGACGCAGAATTTATGAGTAAAAGATCAAAGGGTCACACCACTGATGAGGATGTACTAAACAATCCTAAGACGCTGTTAAATCTTTAATCTGTTAGAAGCTTTTAATTGGTTAGTAAGTATATGTAAATCCCCGAATTCCTTTCAAGACACAATGCTGAGTGAATGGCAGGTTTTATCAGTATAAGTAAGAGGTGATGTTTTAGGTCAGACAATGCATGTTAGGCATGAGGCCTTGTTTAGAATCTGTTTACGTTTTAGTTTAGAGTCAGATTGGTTTTATTTCTAAAGTAGGAATTTATAAAACACCATATTGACTGAGTGTCTATAATTGTGTGCTTTTTGAACAAAATAAAATCTAACTGATTAAAGGTTTAACAGCATCTTAGGTTTGATTAGTACACCCCCACCAGTTCCAGACTCAGCAGTCAGGCCTGTTCAAAGCCTCTCAGCATTTATTCTGTCATGCCTCCCATTTGGACTGTGCTAACACAGGGTGGATTACGGAAATACGGTTTGACCCGTATCTCATCACGTTGTTCTTTCATCAACTTCCAGTCGAACAACTTCCTCCAATAACCCACGGAGAGCCAATCACAGATCGGAGGAGTACATTTCAGGCGCATCTATCTCCTGTGGTGACACCTAACCAGGTAGGTACTCGTGAAACTTGCCAAGATGTTGGTTTATAAAAGGGAGAAGGATTTCATAAAATCTATTTTTCTTTCTGTTTGTTGATGGGGTGTGAGTGTCTCTGGCTTGGCCATCATTCGTTGGCCCTATTCCTAGTTGCCCTTGAGAAGGTGAGATGTCTTCCTGAACCACTGCAGCCCATTTGGTTAACTGCCACCACATCTCTCTCGCTCTCTCTCTCTGTCCCTGTCCCTGTCCCATGAGCATGTACATGCTCTCTTGCACACGCACACGCACACACACATGGACAGAATCTGGGGTTTTTACCCAGTGCCAGTGAAGGAATGGTGATATATTTCCAATGTAAGACTGATGAGTGGCTTGGAGGTGAACTTGCAAGGGGTGATGCTCCCATGTATCTGCTGCTGTTATCCATGCAAGCACAGAGAATGCTGGAGAAGCTTGGCAGGTTTGGCATCATCTATGGAGAGAGAAACAGCATTAATGTTTTGAGTCAGATATGACTCTGAACAGCTTTTTAGTTTGTTTTTGTTGAATGGAAGTGGTCATGGGTTTGGAAAGTGGGTTTGTCTTTGGTTCTTATTCAATTGCCTTTGACTGCCCTTTGTGATCTCAGAAGCTACAATTACTTCTTCTCATGTCGCCTTTACATCCAATGATTTCATTTTTAAGTATAGCTATCATTGAGTGCACACAGTGGCCTGTGTTTGCACAGCAAGATCCAACAAGCAGCTCACAGGATGAATGAATAGTTGGAAAATTAAAGAGTCCTAGAGATATGCAGCACGGAAACAGACCCTTTGTCTATGCTGACCAAATATCCTAAATTAATCTAGTCCCATTTGCCAGCATTTGAGCCATATCCCTCTAAACCCTTCCAATTCATATACCCATCCAGATGCCTTTTAAATGTTGTAATTGTACCAGCCTCCAGCACGTCCTTTGACAGCTCATTCCATATGCGCAGCATTAGCGGGAAGCGATGGCCTAGTGGTATTATCGGTGGACTGTTAATCCAGAGACTCAGATAATGTTCTGGGGACGTGGGTTCAAATCCCACCACGGCAGATGGTGGAATTCGAATTCAATAAATATCTGGAATTAAGAATCTAATGGTGACCATGAATCCATTGTCGGAAAAATCCATCTGTTTCACTAATGTCCTTTAAGGAAAGAAACTGCCATCCTTAACTGGTTTGGCCTACATGTGACTCCAGACCCACAGCAATGTGGTTGACTCTGAACTGCCCTCTGGGCAATTAGGGATGGGCAATAAATGCTGCCTAGCCAGCGATGCCCTCATCCTGTGAATGAATAAAGAAAAAAATCACCCTCTCCATCCATTTGAAATCTTTTCCCTCTCACCTTAAAACTATGCCCTCCAGTTTTGGACTTCCCTACCCTGGGGAAAAGACATTGTCTATTTCCTCTATCCATACCCCTCATGTTTTTATAGACCTCAATAAGGTCACCCCTCAACCTCCGATGCTCCAGGGAAAATAGCCCTGGCCTATTCAGCCTCTCCCTATAGCTCAAACCCTCCAACCCTGGCAACATCCTTGTAAATCTTTTCTGAACCCTTTCAAGTTTCACAACATCCTTCCTTTAGCAGGGAGACCAGAACTGCATACAGTCCTCCGAAAGTGGCGTAACCAATGTCCTGTACAGCCACAACGTGATCTCCCAACTCCTATACTGAATACACTGACCGACAATGGCAAGCATACCAAACGCCTTCTTCACTATCTACCTGTGATTCCACTTTCGAGGAACTATTAACCTGCACTCCCACA